GTTGGGTGAAGGGTTGGGTGAAGGGCTGGGTGAAGGGTTGGTGAAGGACCAGGTGAAGGGTTGGGTGAAGGGTTGAGTGAAGGGTTGGGTGAAGGGTTGGTGAAGGACCAGGTGAAGGGTTGGGTGAAGGGTTGAGTGAAGGGTTGGGTGAAGGGTTGGGTGAAGGGTTGGGTGAAGGGCTGGGTGAAGGGTTGGTGAAGGGTTGAGTGAAGGGTTGGGTGAAGGGTTGGGTGAAGGGCTGGGTGAAGGGTTGGGTGAAGGGCTGAGTGAAGGGCCAGATGAAGGGCTGGGTGAAGGGCTGGGCTCACGGGGGGCAGTGGGCAGGGGGCAGTGGGAGCAGCCAGACCTGTGATGGGGCTGTTGTTGTCATCCCCGGGGATCCAGGTGAGCCGCACGCTCCGCTCCGCCAGGTCCGTCAGCTCCAGGTCCCGGGGCTGGTCGGGCCGTGCTGTTGGCCCAGGAATGACACAAATGAGGCTGGGATTGTCCCAGGAGCTGGGATTCCCAGTTTTCCCATCGCTTCTCACCCAGACCCAGTGTTCCAGGGCACTGATCCCACCCTGCAGCTCTCAGGATCGGTGCTAATTGTTCCTTGCCTTTAAACCCTCCCTGTCCCTGCACCACTGGGGGTGGAAGCACCAGGAAGTGGCTTAGCAGGGGGTTGTTTAACCTTACACAGAGCTGTCAGGAACAGGAATGCAAACAAACAGGGTGGAAGGGACACAAAACCTCAACAAAAACATAAACTTGTTGGAAATTCCCTGAACACAACTCCGGTTTCTTCATCCCTTCACAAGAACCTGCTCGTGCAATAACAGGAGTAAATTCTGTCCAGATGAAGGTCAAGGGCTCAAAAATTCAAGGGCTCAAAAATTCAAGGTGAATTTTTTTCTCCCGTCAGGGCTCAGCATTTTCAAGCGCAGGTAAAGTGATTTTTTTTTTCTCACTTTCCCTCAGGAGAGCGTCCCAAAGGCACTTTGGGGCACAAAATGTGGTGGCAAAGGACCTTCCTACCCACTGCCATCTGGCTGGGTTTTGAAGGACAACTTGGAGAGGACTTGGAAGCATCAGCTCCCGGATTTTTCAGCTCTAGCGCTTTCCTGCTGGCGTTACTGGCGAGGCAAACCAAAATGAACTCAGAAAACAAAACAAAGGCAACAAATTAGTGCTGATTACCTTTGGGTAACTCTCTCAAACGGTTAGCAGGGACGGCTGCAAGGTAAGACAGTGGTTGTTAACCGGGTTAGTTTAGTCATTAAAGCTTGGGGGGCCAAAGGAGCACCTGGCAAATGTAAAATCACACACACAGTTACGGGTTTGGGAAGGGATCGATCCTGTGTGGGGAGCAGAGCAGGGACATCCTTCCCCCAGACACCTCCAGCCGTGCCCTCACAGCTCTGTTTGTGTTTGTAACACTCAGGAAAGGGGAAACATCAGCTTGGTGTGGGGTTAATGAGCTATTAGGGGGACGGGAAGGGGTAGAAATCAAGCCCGGTGGAATTATGAGGGATGTGGGGTTCATGGTGCACTCCAGCTCTTGGAGGGCACTGGTAGGTCGTGGCATTCCCAGGAATCTGAGGTGGCCCAGAGCAGGGGATGATAAATCTGTGTTTTCCAAGTGGGTTCACAGTGAGCACAGGCGGGGAGTGGGCTCAGGTCTGTCCCTGCCTGTGCTGCCAAGGCCAGGATCTCCCCCAGCCGGGTCACCCCCAGCTCCCCATTGCTCAGCACCCCAACACCCCCTCAAATTCACTTCCAAATTTAGGACTGTTCCCACAGAGCTCCAACATCCACACTGGGATATTTTTGGCCGTGAGTAATAACCACTCTCCTATTTTTTCGCTCTCAAACACGAGTTGGTTTTTTCTGGGCTCCAGTTCAGCGCCGGCGCCTGGGACGAGGCAGAGTGTCCTTGCCGAGTCCTGCAAGGGAACAGCTGCCCTGCCAGCACCTCCCTGAGCACCCAGGGGACACCCTGGTGAGCAGAGAGACCTCTCAGCCTGACCTTGAAGGGGGTTTGTTGTGTTAAAAACGGGGCAGCTTTACCCAGCACGGTGAGATAGGCCTTGGCCGAGTCCTTGTCCAGCTCCGTGCTGGCCACGCACGTGTAATCCCCCTGGTCCCTCTCAGCCACGCCAAATATCGTCAGACCATCGTCTTCTTTCTTCATCCTTCAAGAAAAGCAAGAACCACACAGCTGTTCCAGGCAGCAGCACCGAGGGCTGAGTGTTCTCTGCCAGGACACAGCTCAGAGCCCGACCAGAGAACATCTCTGCTCTGGAGATTTGATCAGCTGAGGATGTGTTGAGCTATTCTGGGAAACCTCATTTCCTAAGGAATCAGCAGATGTGCCCCGGGGTGTGTCTGGGGAATAATCACACCTTTAGGACAACAGCCAAGCTCGGGCTGGTGCCCCGGGATCAGATCTCCCTTCCCAAGGAGGGAGTCAGCCATGGGAAGGAAATTAAAGCTGCCCCAGGCACGGCAGATAAACGTTAATTTTGAGGTGGGTTGTTATTAACTCACCCCTTTTATCAAGATGTCCTAAAATATCTGTAAATAAAACCTACAGCAAGGTCCTGATTTACTGATAAATCAGCTGCAATTGCTGAGCAGGGTCTGTTGGAAGGAGCTGGTAAATTAAAAGCATCAAGAATGTCAAACGCTGCCTAGATGGGAACTCAGTATTTATCCACATTATCCTGAAACATTCTGTAAAAATGTTCCCAGCAATCCCGGGAGAGAAGATCCATGAAACTTCTGGAAACACAGACCTGCTTCCCAGGTACAGGGGGGCATCATCCTTGAGCCAGGTGACCGTGAGCCTCAGCGTGGGGTCGTGCTTGACGCGGCAGTGCAGGCGAGGCATGGAGCCCCTCTTCACCACCTGGTCCTCAGGCCCTCTCACAATCCTGGTGGGGTCTGCACGGGGGCAGAAAGGAAGTGTCAGGCACCAAATCCCTGGCTCTGGGCTCAGGAGCTTGGTAGAGGTTTGGTGGTGCTTGGAGAGGACACACACATGTTTGTCCAGCTTGGTGGATGAATGGCCTAGGATACAACTAAATTAATTCACCAAGCCATTAATTCAGGCTGAACCTCTAAAAAACCCCCCAGTTTTCTGAGTCAGCAGTCAGATTTGCTGAACAGGGAAAGCCCTGGGAGAAACAATCCAGAAAATGTTTTCCTGTCCTCGGTTAACCCTGAGGAACACTTTGCTTTGCTGTTTGCACTGCTGATGGCATCTCCCAGCTCAAAACCCACACCAAGCCCTCCTGCAGCTCCAGTACATCCACAGCCTTGTTTTCTTCCAGCACTAAAAAGGAATTTGTACCATTTTCCAGATTCCAGCTCTGAGTCACACAGTGCCTGTCCTGCTGACAGACTTGGGTGTAACACCACCAACCTCCCTCACCCAAAATTGTTGCTTCTGCTGCAAGTTCCAGAAGATCCAAGAGCCCTTCACGTCCCTACCTTTGACCTCCAGGCGAACCTGGGCCTCTGCTTTGCCCAGGATGTTGGTGGCCACGCAGGTGTAGATGCCCTGGTCCTCCTTCCGAGCCATGAACATCTCCAGGCTCCCGTTCTCGTGCGCCTTGTAGTTCCCTCCGTCCAGCGTGTTCCCCTGGCCGTTCTTAAACCTCACAAACACCACAGAGTGCTGTTGTAAGGGAAGAAAGGGCAGGAAAACCCCCTCCTGCCCCCAGCCCTGAGCCTGGCAGGGGCGGTGCTGCAGCTCTTACCATCGCAGGGTGGGGATGGGGGAGCCGAAGAAGGGGCAGTCGAGCCGGGTGCGGTTGTTCTGGATGACCCTGATGAGCTGGTTGCGGGGGGCCAGGATCCGGGGGGGCACGTCTGCAAACAGCACAGAGCACAGACATGATGGGGGATGAGAAATCAGTGTCTGGGTCCTGCTGCTCCTTTCCAGCCTTTCCATCCACCCTCCCGTTTCTTTTGTTCGCTTTTCCCGCTGGCGCTTTCAAAACCCGGTGGAGCATCTCCAGTCCCCCTCCTCTCCTCTCCCCCTCCCTCCTTTCCAGGCTGGCTGCAGGACTCAGCTCGTGTCCTGGGACTTGGCAGGTCCAGGGCAATGGATTTCTGCTCCAAAGCCCAGCTGCAGAGGTCAGGAACCTCCGTGGAGCAGCTAATGACAGAGAGGAAAGCAAATGGAGAACTTCTGAAGGGAAAAGGGGGGTTTATAAAAAAAGAGGGAGAGCAGCTTTTTACATGGGCAGGCGGTGATAGGACAAGGGGGAATGGTTTTAAATAGAAGAGGAGAGATTGGATAAACATTGGATATCAGGAAAAAATTGTTCCCTGTGAGGGTGGGGAGGCCCTGGCACAGGTTCCGCAGAGAATCAGTGGCTGCCCCATCCCTGGAAGTGTCCAAGGCCAGGTTGGAAGGGGATTGGAGCAACTTGGGCTAGTGGAAGGTGTCCCTGCCCACGGCAGGGGGTGGCACTGGGTGATCTTTAAGATCCCAACCAACCCAAACCGTGCTGTGGTTCTGTGACCTCTCTCTCCTCTTGCTGAAGGTGATTTAATTTGCCCCTCTCTTGTCTCAGTATGAGCTAAATAAGGGGGCTCGGAGCAACCCGGGCGACAGCGGGTTGGAACTGGGTGGTCTTTAAGGTCCCTCCCAAGCACAGAGCAGGCTCGGGCTGTGTGCCAAGTGAGTGCAGGGGGTTGTGGTGCCCGGGGCTCACCCAGCACGCTGACGAAGGCGTTGGCCAGCAGGTAGCCGTGCTCGTTGGAGGCGTTGCACTGGTACACGGCGCTGCTGCCGATCTGCGTGTCCCGGAACACGATGGTGTCCCCGGCCACCTCCCGGCTCGGGTTGTGGGCAGAGGCTTTGACACAACAGAGAACTCTTTTAAAATTAATTTTAAGTCGAGAATTCACCAGGTAACAGCGTTAAACGTCCTCCCAGCCTGGCCAGGGGAAAGGCGGGTGGTGGTTTGTGACCTCCCCGGTCCCAAAGGATGAGCCCGTGGTTCGGCTGGACTCACCTCAGGCACTGCCCTGAACCAGCAGTGAGGTTTAGTAAATCAGCAAAAACCACCCTAAACTAGTAGTAATGGCCCTAATTGGCAGAAACAACCCTAAACTAGCAGGAACAACCCTAAACTAGCAGTAAAAACCTTAAACTAACAGAAACTACCCTAAACTAGCAGGAACAACCCTAAACTAGCAGTGAAGACCCTAAACTAGCAGAAACTGCCCTAAACTAGCAGTAAAGACTCTAAACTAGCAGAAACTAGTCTAAACTAGTAGCAATGGACCTAATTAGCAGAAACAACCCTAAACTAGCAGTAAGGACCCTAAACTAGCAGAAACTACCCTAAACTAGTAGTAACAGCCCTTATTAGCAGAAACAACCCTAAACTAGCAGTAAAGACCTTAAACTAACAGAAACTACCCTAAATTAGTAGTAACAACCCTAATTAGCAAAAATAACCCTAAACTAGCAGTGAAGACCCTAAACTAACAGAAACTGCCCTAAACTAGCAGTACCAACCCTAAACCAGCAGCAGGGACAGCGTGTGGGGTTGGATCCTGTACAGTGCCTGCCACCCCAGCAGCAGCTCTGGCTCATGCCGGGTTTGTGGTGGGGTTGGCACAGCCCCCCCCCCGCTCACCTTCGATGGGCTCCCCGTTCACCAGCCACTGGATGGAGGGTTTGGGGTTCCCGTTGGCTCGGCACACCAGCCTCCCGTCCTCCCCGGGGGCCAGGATGAGGTTTTCGGGTTCATCCAGCCAGTACGGGGCAGCTGGAAAACACCCCAGGGCACCAGTTACACCCCAGGGCACCAGTTACACCCCAGGGCACCAGTTACACCCCGGGGCACCAGTCACACGGGCAGCAGCTCCCCCTCCTGCCAGGTCCCCCTCTGCTGCTCCCTGGAGATGCAGGAGAAGGAAAATTCCCTCCTCTCCAGGGGGTTTCCCCCGGTGGGGTCAGGGTGGGGGTCCCCTTTCCCCCCTTGCCTTGGCCACACGAGCCCACACCCATTTGTGTCAGTGAAGTTCAGCTGAGAGCTCATCTCACGCTGCTTTTGGGGTAGTTTGGACGAGGTGGCTTCAAACTGAGGGAAAGTTTAGGTGGGATGTGAGGGAGAAATTCCTCCCTGGGAGGGTGGGGAGGCCCTGGCACAGGTTGCCCAGAGAAGCTGTGGCTGCCCCATCCCTGGAAGGGTCCCAGGCCAGGTTGGAGCAACCTGGGTTAGAGGAAGGTGTCCCTGCCCACAGGACAGTCTTTAACATCCCTTCCAACCCAAACCATTCCACGATTCTACAAAGACACACGGATGGTTGGACACAGCAGAGAACCAGCCCCTCAGGGAAGCCCCCAGTGCCCCTCCCAGCAGCCAGAGCACCCCTCCAGTCCCCCCCCCAAGCTCCTGACATGGGGGTCCCCGAGATGGGAAGGTAAAGGTGACGTACCCTTCACTCTCACCGAGATCGTGTGGCGGATGCTGCCCATCTTGTTGGAGGCCAGGCAGAAATACTCCCCGGAGTCCTCCTCGGACACGTTGGAGATGCGAAGGGCCTTGTTGAAGTTCTCCAGCTTGGTTTTGCCCACGGGCAGCTCCCCTCCTTTCTTGAACCACATGATGTCCGGCGCTGGTCTGAGGAGAGGGGAGCAGGTCAATGTTTTTGCCAGGCAAGGGAACGGCTGATGATCCCTGGGGAGCACCCACAGCCAGGGAGAAGGGCTGAGCCAGCTGCTGGGCCACCCTCCTGCAGACCACCACCCCTAAAGCAGGACCCTGGGCACCACCAGCTTCACCTCATGGCCTGGGCTTGGGGGGTGCAGGATCTGAGAACCCTGGAATGCTCTGGGTTGAAAGGGTCCTTAAAGACCATCCCACTCCAACCCCCTGCCATGGGCAGACCAGCAGGGCACTGGGGTAGAACCCTGAGCCCAGGACACTCATGGACCACAACTGTCCTCACCCACAGTGTGGTGAGGAGCTCCCAGAAGATCCACAGATCTAAGGACAAACCAGTGGGGAATTATCCCTGGACAAGGATCCGGAGACACCTGCAAACCTCCATTCTCCATTTCCTCAATGCTTTTGTGCATCAAGTAGGTTATGAGAGCCTTGTTAAAAGGGAGGAATGACCCCTTTTTCCCAGACAGAGGTGTTTCCATGGTGACTCAGCACCTTGGTCCCGGTCCATCCCACTGGGAATGACCCTGTTCCCCCCTCAGGGGTACGTACACTCCAGATGCGATGCACTCCAGCAGCAGATCCACCCCTCGGAGCACCATCTGGCTGCTGGAGGTCCCGTAGGGATACATGAAGCTGGGAGTCGTCTCCGTGATCCCTCGGGCTGGAATCAGCAGGGGAGAGAAAGAGAAAACAAAAAAGAAAAGAAACAAAACACGGGGCTTTTAAAAAAAAAGTCTCCTCGGGGGGCCAGAAACAAGCGACGCCTCCCCCGACAACCTGGGACAACCTGGGACAACCTGGGATGCTGAACTCGCCCAGGAATGCACCTGGAGGGGAGAGGAGGGCTCCAAATGGGGTTTAAATGAAGAAATGAAAGGGTGGAGAGAGGATGCTGGGTGGGCAGGGGGGTAGAGAAGCAGCAGAGGGTGGGCAGAGGGAGCTGAGCCACGGGAATGGTCCCTGCACCAGCAGCTCCCACCTTTCCTGCCCATCCCTGCCTCTGGCACAATGGGCTGAAATGGGATGAGACTGGGAAATACTGATGGACAAACATGTAATGAAGACAAAGTGGTCACAGGAAGGGTTTACTCAGGCAGCTGGGACACTTGGACACAGAGATTTTGGGGACATGGAGCATCCCGGTGCTGCCTGGGGGCTCCAGCAGCACCAAAGAGCTTCTCCAGCCTCACCAAGGGCCTGGAAGGGCAGTGCCCTTTGGAAAGGAACAACTCAGCCACCAAAATGACACATTTCAGGACTGGACAGGGAAGTTCAATAGGAGAAAATCAGGGGAAGACACGAGGCAACTCTCTACAGATACACACGGTGAAGATCTCTCTTTGTAGGGGGGGAAATTATTAATTTATGGAACAGATTCCATTAATAAGTGGAATTATTGACCTAGATCTGGATCAGTGAGGACAAAACAGGATGAGATGGGTTTGAGAGCAGCAGTAGCAGAGATGGAAGTTATGAGATTAGGAGAGGGGGTGGAATGGGCAGGGCTGGCACAGGGACACTACAAATCCTGGGGGGATCCCAGGGCAGGAGCAGGAGCTTGGGGTGCAGCCCAAACCCTCTCCTGAACCCCCAAAGCTTCTTTGGCCTGGTGAGCAGGAGGCAGCCGGGTGTGCCCAGTGCCACAGGGATTTGGGGGATGCCCACATTTCTTTGGGAAGCCTCCAGATCTGTGCCAGGGGGAGAAGGAGGGGAGAGAGCACAGGGGCTGTGCTGGAGATCCCAGCCTGGCACCAGGGAAGGGAAACCCAACCTCAGGAGTTAATCCATGCCTTGGAAAGGACTCCTCACCAGCCACAGACACACATCCCACTGTCCCACAGCCCCGGCTCTGGGGGGGATCCCTGAGGGTTAGTCAGTTATTCCATTAATGGATTACCAGGGCAGGGAGAGCTTTGCTTTATCCACAGGGGTTGGTTCTCTGGGCAGGCAGACGCTGCCCTTTGCATCCCTGCCTCTGGAGAGGGTCTCATTCCCGGGTATCCCAGCCTATCCCGGGCTCTGGGGGGGCACAGCAGAGCCAAGGGCTGGGCTTGGAGCCGGAGTTTATCCCAGCTCCAACCTCTCCAGCCACATCCATGAGCTTCTCCCATCCAATTAGGGCAGTGGGATATTATTTTATGGCCTTTTGTCAGCCAACAGGCTGCAGGACTCACTCCCTACTGGCTCAGGAGCCCAGGGCAGAACTAGCAGAGCTAAAGCAGCAGTGCAAGCCAAATTTTGTGAGCCATTTATTAATGATGACAATTAAAAATAAGGGAGATAAATTAGTATCCTACCCACCTGTTTAACAAACCTAACAACAGCGTTGCACAGCTGAGAGACTTTTTGCCTCAGTGCAGCATCACTAAGAAATATTTTGCTGTTTCTAAGAAGGAGAAGCCAGAAATTCTCCCAGTTCTGCTCTGGCTCCAGCTGGAAGCCCTCAGCCATCCAGCAAAGTCTCACTCATCCCTCTGGATGGATCAGAACCGGAAAAATAAATCCCCTGGCTATTTAATTCTGCTCCAAAACAGACTCTGCTCCCAAACTGGTGGTCCCAGAAACATCCACTGCCCCCTCCCACAGCTCTGACCTGGTGGCACCTAAAAATTCTCCATCCCCTCTCGTGTCCAGGGCTGTGCACACCCTGACAAGTCCCAGCTGCTCTCCTGCTGCACAGCCAGCTCCAAACACCCCTGGCTTTGCCAAAAAGGACAGAGAAAAAAGACCAGAACAGACCTTTGTTTCCATTAAAAAAAAAAAAAAGTGAGAAACTTCTGCTAATAAAATATCCAGTTGATCCTTTTAGCTTGTTTTTCCCTGGATAACTGCAGCCAGTTTGCCCCCAAAATCCAGCTTGGCAACAGGGAAATCCCTGCACTTGCCCTGGGTAGGGAGAAGGGCTGGGTGGGATGGTTGTCCCCCCAGCCTCACGTCCACACAGCACATCCCATGTCCCTGAGACAAGGAATATCCCAGGAATGAGACTCCCAGCCTCTGGAGATCCCTTTGCCAGCTGGCTCCGGTGCTGTGCCCCTCCCAGCACCCCAAGGCAGAGGGACTGAGAGCCCCGAGACCCCCAAACCCCCCAAATCCTCGGGATCCTGATGTCCCTCTCCCCATCCCAAAGACTCCTCACTTGCCCCAGCTGGTTCCAGTGGCCAGCAGAGCCAGGCAGGACATTCCAGGGAGAACCACGGGGTCAGCAGCAAGGAAAAGGGCTGAGGGTAACAATTATTCCACCAGCTCATCAACTGTTAATTAATGAAGTGCTGGGTTGGAGCTCAGGCTGCACAGGGGTGTGAGGGAGGGGCTGGAATTCACTGGGGCCAGGAGGTTTTCCAGGGGGTGTTAAGTGCAAACAGTCCTGACAATGCAAAGAGCAGGAAGTTTATCCTAAAATAGGAATGGAACAGAAATCTTGGAGGCTGTGCAGATAAAAATCTCATTTTCCTGACTGACTCTTTGGGCATTCCTTTGCCCTGAACAGCAACGAGCAGTGGGAGCTCAGGCAGCCCAGGACCACCCCTGGCCACTGGATTTCTCAGCCCAGGATCACCCCTGGCCACTGGATTTCTCAGCCCAGGACCACCCCTGACCACTGGATTTCTCAGCCCAGGATCACCCCTGGCCACTGGATTTCTCTGTCCCTGAGAGAGGCATCTCCTCTCATTCCTTTCTCCCCGAGGAATGATGCAGCTCGTGCAGCCCCCCTGGAAGCTGATTTTGCTGACAATCCCTTTTCCCAGCCCTTTCTCCAAGTGTTTCCAGACCATTCCCAGCCCCTTTGCTGCCACCAGCACTTCCAAGGCTGGTTCTGCCTCAGAGCCTTCAGGAACCTCCTGCTCCTGATGCCAAACCCCCGTTCCCTGGGCAGGGAGGGAACTTGCCTGGCACAGCCCCCTCTTCTCACACTCCAGCTCTGTCTGCTCCGGGCTGGCAAAAACCCTCCTTGTCCCTAAAAGTCCCCGTGGCACAATAAGAAGTGCCCTGGGTCGTGCCAGGCCCAAGGGAAGCTGTGGCTCCGGGGAGGGGACACTCCAGGGCACGGTGGGGACCAGTGTGGGGCATCCCTGGGGTTGTGCCCACCCTGCTGCCAACCAAGCCCCGGCCCCAAAAGCAGCAGGAGGGGCAGAAAGTGAGTCCTGCCCCATGGCAGCACCTGAGCTGGGGGGCTTTGGTGGGGTGTTCACACCCCTAGCACTGCCTGGGCTCTCAGCATCACCCAACCCAGCCCCATCTCCCACATTATCCCATCGCATCCCTGACAATTCCAAGCCATGTGACAATTCCAAGCCATGTGACAATTCCAATCCATCCCCGGGGCAGCGACCCCGCCCCGGGGACCTGCATTGGGTTTGTGTGGGAGGCAAAACTGATGAGTTTTTGGGATGGGCTTCTCCCAGCAGAGGCAGGACCCAGAGGGAATTCCCTTCCCAGAAAAAAGGGCAGGAGCCTCAGGAAAGCCTCCAGCACACCTCCAACCCCTCAGCACATTAACAAAGCTCCCAGATTCCAAGAAAACTGAATACTTCTCTTTTTTTTGTTGTTGTTGTTGTTTTTCCTCTCCCAGTCACTGCCTGGTTTTAGCTGCAAACACACGAGATGCTCTTCCTGGAGCTGCTCTTTCTGAGGACACCCAGAAGGGGGGACGCTGGGTCTGATCTTTAAATCACGAGCCTTTGCCAAGGATGAGACACTGAGGGAGCAACCCTGGGCTGGCTCAGATCCTCTTAACCCCAACACCTCCCGAGCTGGGCTCTGCAGATCCTCTTAATTAGCTTAAAAACCTCTCTCGTTTAAAGGGTGAAGCTCCAAGGGGGCTTTGGCTCGTTTTGTGTCCCTAATTTTTGGCAAAGCTGAGGCCACAAACCCCCCGAGGGGCCGGGGAGGGCCCGGTTAGTGCGGGGTCAGTCGGGTTAAGGCGGGAGGTTAAACCAGGGGCTCCAAAAGCCGGGCTTGACTCACCACTGTACATGTCAGTGAGATTTCCTAAAGACGTGTCGTTATGGGGCTTCTCTGCAATAAACAAAACACTGTGAGCGACTCCAGGGGCACCAGGCGAGGGGGGGACGGGCAGGACAGGCAGGACAGGCAGGACAGAACAACCTCCCCACAGGCAGGAGCAACAGGCAGGGGCGGGGAGACACAAGCACAGCTGCCCTCCAGGACAAACACGGCCACAAAGGGGTTGGTTTTCCTCCTGCCAGGTGGGAAGACAACTACTACAGGGTAAACATTTCCTAGAAGTGTTTTGCTCTGCGTTCCTATCTTTTAAAAAAACAAAATCACGTTTAAAAAAACAAAATCGCTTTTAAAAAAACAAAATCGCTTTTAAAAAAACAAAATCGCTTTCAAAACAAAAAAACAAAAAAGGAGATTTTTGGTTTTTTTCCTCTCGGTTTCTTAACCGCAAAGAAAATCGTCTTCCAGCTGCTTTTTTCCCCCGGCACGAAGCAGAGGCTGGGGCTGGGCACAGCCAGGGGTTGGGCACAGCCAGGGGTTGGGCACAGCTGGGCAGTGGTGTGGCGATGGGGAAGGGTGAACAAATCAAAATAATAATAATAATAATAATAATAATAACAATAATAATGCTCTAAAAGCATAACCTGCTGTAAAAACCCTTTTAATGACAAGGTAAGGAGAGCAGGTTGTGTTCCAGCTCCTCTTGTTTATGGACACCCAGCACAAGCCATCACCTATGAAGAATGATCACCAGCCTGAGAGGAGTGGGGGGATTCATCATCCTGACCTGAGCCTGCTGCAGGATCTGCCCTTCCCAGCTCACATCAGCACCCAAAAGGGGGTTAAGAGAGCCCAGAAGATGCCCAAGAGCTGCCTGGACCTGGATCCACCACCAAACAATGCACAGAGGGATCCCTCCCTGCAGCCTTTCCATTCTCCTCTTCTTGCATCCCATGGCAATCCCATGCCATGATTTTCCAGCAGCTGGTGAACCCTTTTTTAAGGAGCCAGAGCTCCTGGTTCGAGGCTGAGATGATCAAAGAGCTTGAGACAGATTCAAGCTCAGCCCCTTTGAACAATGTAAATATAAACCACTTTTTCCTGCGGTGACAGGTGAGAAATCAGAGCCCGAGTTCTTGAAATCACAAAGAGCTCTGGGGGGCTCCCGGGGTGGAATTTGCATCTGATCACACAGCAGATGTTTCCTGAGGAAAACTGGGAGAGAGGGCCCAATTCTCCACATCCAGGGAGTGCAGGAGGGGGAGGTTGTGGCTGTGAGCACACAAACCTGCCAGAGTTTCACCCCCATCGCTCCTGGACCTGCACAAATCTGTCCAGGCTGGAGCCTCTGGAGGCTCAAACCACCCCAGATCTTGGTTTGCCAGGGTTTCCCCAGCTCACACCAATCCAGGGCTCAGTCCTTCCCCAACAGGTGAGTGCTGGGACTCTCTGCCCAGCTCTGTAAACAGGCAAATAATATTCAGAATTAACAACAAGCTCCCGCTGCCCTGCTGGCACAGAGCCTGCTGGAGGATTTAAACTGCTGGGTCTCTACTCAAGCTCTGCACAGAGGAGGAGCTGTTACAAGGATGTGTAAACCCCCCCAGGCCCTGTCTGAGGCTCAGGGCACTGCCAGGTCCCTTTAGTAGCAATTCCTGCTGATTTGAGCTGCTGGGAGATCAAATTAAACTCCCACCACTGGCAGCCAGGAGCAACTCGTGCCTGCTGTGCCCCCCCAAAACACAGCCAGCACCCTCTGCCTCCCAGCTGGACCTCACTGGAGAGGGGTGATGGCTCCTGGCTGATGACTGAGGCCAGGAGAGGATGGGTTTATATTGATTGCTGATTTTTTTGGTGCTCTGCACACCTCCCACCCCCCCAAAATAGAACAGGACATGAGGCTGCTGAGTTGATGCAGGTCCTGCAGCCTCAGCTCAGTCCCCTCTGCCAGCGGCCCCACAGCACATCAGGAGCTGCTTTTCCTTCAAACAACCTCCTTTGTGGAGCAGAAGCTGCTGGAGGCTGGAGCTGCTCTGCAGAGAGCCCTGGGGGTGCCCCTGGTGTCCCCCAGGGTGACGCTCCTCATGTGGGGACACCGAGATCACCCAAGGTCACCCCCCGAGGGCTCCGTGCCCCCTGTCAGCACATCCCAGAGGGAAGGAGCCAAACAGCAGCTGGGCAGGGACACCCTGAGCTGGGCAGGGACACCCTGAGCCGGGCAAGGCTGGCACACACTCAGCTCCCCACCCTCGGGGCAGCACCAGCCCCCGGAGCCAAACCTGGAGCAAAGCGAGGCCAATTCCAGCTCCACTTCCAGCTCCTCAAAGGGGGAATGATAATGATGCCCCAGGATTTCACCTTTCCCTGAGGATGGTGGGAACACCCCACCTGTTCTGGAACCCTCTCAGTTCATCCCAGGCACGCAGATTTAGGGACACCTGCACCAAGAAACTGCTGGAGGGGAACCAGCCCCCCCTCCCTGCCGGGTGAGCCCCCCAAGGACTCTCATCCCTCATCCCAACCCCTTCCTGTGCCATCCTAAATAAACAAAGGAGGCCACTCTTCTCCCTGGGAGGTGCCAAGGTGTCTGGAAGGGAAAACCCTGGCCAGGGGGAGCCCCAGCCCCATGACACTTACTGGTTTTGACCTTGAGGGTGAAGGGGTTCTTCTGCTGGATGGTGTGGGTGAAGTGGAAGCGGGCGTTGCAGCTGTAGTCGGTCAGGGCGTCCTGCAGGATCACGTTGGAGAAGTAAAGGTCCCCGTTCTGCCCCTGGGACACTCGCTTGTCCTGCTGGATGGGCTCCATGGCTGCGGGCACAGCGGGCACAGCGGGCACTGAGACAGGGCCGGGGGCTCCCGGGGGGGAACAGCCAGGCAGGGGGCAGGGGGGGGGTCTCTGAGCTCTGAACCAGGGTGAGGACCCTAAACTAGCAGGAACAACCCTAAACTAGCAGGAACAACCCTAAACTAGCAGTAAGGACCCTAAACTAGCAGAAACAACCCTAAACTAGCAGTAAGGACCCTAAACTAGCAGGAAGGACCCTAAACTAGCAGGAACAACCCTAAACTATCAGGAACAACCCTGAACTAGCAGTAAGGACCCTAAACTAGCAGGAACAACCCTAAACTAGCAGTAAGAACCCTAAACTAGCAGAAACAACCCTAAACTAGCAGAAACTACCCTAAACTAGCAGAAACAACCCTAAACTAGCAGAGACTACCCTAAACTAGCAGAGACTACCCTAAACTAGTAGAAACTGCCTTAAACTAGCAGAAAATGTCCTAAATTAGCAGAAAATGTCCTAAACTAGCAGAAACAACCCTAAACTAGCAGGAACAACCCCAAACTAGCAGCAACTGCCCCAAACTAGCAGCAACTGCCCTAAGCTAGCAATAATAACCCTAAACCAGCAGTAAAGACCCTAAACTTGCAAAAACTACCCTAAACTCGTAGTAAAAGCCCTAAATTAGCAGTAACAGCCCTAATTAGCAGGAACAACCCTAAACTAGCAATAATGACCTTAAACTAGCAAAAACTACCTTGAACTGGCTGTAACAACCCCAAACTAACAGAAACTACCTCAAACTATCAGAACTGCTCTAAATTAACAGAACTGCCCTAAACTAGCAATAATAAACACTAAACTCGCAATAATAACCCTAAACTAGCAATAATAACCCTAAACTAGCAATAACAACCCTAAACTAGCAGTTGCTGGCCTGAACTACCAGAAACCACCCTAAACTAGCAGGAACTGCCTCAAACCAGCAGCAGGGACCCTAAAGAGGGTTTTTTGGAGCCCTGCAGGGGGTGGGAAGGGGGTGCGGGGTGGGAAGGGGGTTCCCCACTCACAGCTGCTCATCCAGAAGATGACGGGCGGGGGGAGCCCTGGGGGGGGGTTGCACTGCAGGCTCAGAGGGGCCCCTTCATCCACCTCGATCACATCCACCTTCTCCTTGGGCCACAGGGGAGACTCTGCCACGGGAAACAAGGGCAGAGTCAGGAAGGGAGGGCGGGAATATCCCCGGAGCTCTTCCCGCCGGGCCTGGCCTGCTTTCCATGGGGTGGCCTCGATGCAAACTCCATTTCTGCCTGGGCATGACTCCCTGAAATCCATGCCCTTAAATCCATGCCCTTGAGTCTATACCCTTGAATCCATACCCTTGAATCCATGCCCTTAAATCCATGCCCTTGAATCCATGCCCTTAAATCCATGCCCTTGAATCCATGCCCTTGAATCCATGCCCCTGAATCCATACCCTGAAATCCATACCCTTAAATCCATACCCTTAAATTCATACCCTTGAATCCAGGACCTCAATATCCTTCCTGAGCTGAGGGCCCAGAACTGGCCACAGCACTCCAGGGGTGGCCTCACCAGCGCTGAGTCCAGGGGAAGAATCACTTCCCTGGCCCTGTTGGCCACACTGTTCCTGAGCCAGGCCAGGATCCATTGGCCTTCTTGCCCACCTGGGCACACTGCTTCACATCCTTCCTGATCAAAACTGTCCCAGCATTCCCAGTGAGGCCACACCAGCTCCCTGTGCCCCCTCCACAGCACAGACCCCCCCCTGCCCTCCTGGCTGGTCACTCACTGGACACCTGGAGGTGGATCTTGCTGGAGAGGGCAGTGCCATAGTCGTTCCTGGCGAAGCACTGATACTCCCCCTCGTAGTCCTCAGGTCTGCCCCCGCTGTGGAAGTCGATGACGAGGGTCCCCGAGCGGCGCCGCATCGACACCTTGGGGTCCTTGGCCACGTTGAAGAACTTCCCGTTCCGAGTCCAGGAGAAGCTGCAAGCACAGGGTGGTACCTGGGGGAGGTCCTTACCTGGGCTGGGAGAGCTGGTGGTGGCCGTGGCACAGCCGGGTCGGGGGGGGCACAGGGGGGGCACTTACGTGGGCACGGGGTTGCCTTTGGCCTCGCACTCGATGAAGATGTTGTCCCTGGGGTCCACGATGTAATCCTTCACCGACTGCTTGGTGATGGTGGGGGGCTGGGGCACTGCAGGGCAGAGGGGACACCCTGAGCAGGGCTGTGCCCACCCCTCTGCCACCCCGCAGCACATCCCCAAGGGATGCCAGCCTCTTGCCCAGCCTCTTCCTCAGCCTCTTCCCCAGCCTCTTCCCTAGCCTCTTCCTCAACCTCTTCCCCAGCCTCTTCCTCAACCTCTTCCCCAGCCTCTTCCTCAACCTCTCCCTCAGCCTCTTCCCCATCCTCTTCCTCAGCCTCTTCCTCAGCCTCTTCCTCAGCCTCTTCCTCAACCTCTTCCTCAACCTCTTCCCCAGCCTCTTCCTCAGCCTCTTCCCCAGCCTCTTCCTCAGCCTCTTCCCCAGCCTATTCCCCAGGCTGCACCCTCCATTTGTGGTTTACAACCCTGAGGAAACTCCCACAAGCACGGGTGGGGTGGGCTGCTCTCCCCTCTCAGACCGTGGCACTGCTCAGGTTCCCTTTAGGCACCAAAACCCCTCCTGGTTCTCACTTGGGGGCTTGGATTTCAGAAATTCCACATTTATGTTTTCCTGCTCCCATTGAAGCCCATCCTGCTCCTCAGAGAGGGGCTGCAGCTTCCAGGGACCCCCAGACATTTACAGGGACTCCTTGAGCAAGAAGGAGGCCCTAAACCCCCCCAGGTTGGCCCTAAACCCCCCAGGTTGGCCTCAGAGGAGTTCGAAACTGGTGTTTAGAGGGGCAGGGCTGTGAAAAGAGCCCAGAGCTGCTGTAGGATCTGGCTCTGGCTCTGAACTTGGAATTGAAGATCCCATCCCAGGCTGAAGGTCTGAGGGTGTTTGCTCATCCCCCCCAGAGCCAGTGATGCTCCAAATGTGTCAGGAGGTGGGGCTGAGCTTGGCACACGTGCTGGTTGCCAGGCAGAGGAGCCCACCCTGCCCTCGGGGCTGCCAAAAAACAACAAACCCCTGCAGAAACAACATTCCCGCAGCGAGGGCAGCCTGGATCCTGCTCCAGGGGCAGCCCAGAGCCCAGGAACTGGAGCACAGAGCCCAGGAACACCTCCTGAGCTGCTCCAGCCGGGCAGGAGAAGTGGCTGGTCCTGTCCTGGCCACGGGCAGTGCCCCCATGCCCAGGGTGTGCCCCCGGCAGCCCCCTGCTCTGTGCAGATCCCTCATGCAGAGGACACGGACACACAGAGGGCAGGGAACACTTACATTCACTCTGAATACTTGCTGTTATCCCCCAAGTGCCAGCAGAGAGGAGAGAAGACAAGAGGTTAGTTGGGGAGCAGCCCTGGGGTTTCTGGTGCCCACGGACCCAGTGGGTTGTTCCACACAAACCATTCCACGGCTCAGGCGTGTCCTGAGCTTCCCCCCTTTGCTGCCCACGGGGGAGAAGCTGCTGCTGAGGGTTCCTGGGGGCTCTCAGCTCCTCTGCAGGAGGGTGAAATGCAGCACAGGCTGCCTGGGTGGGCTTTGGGGTGCCCACCCCCCTCACCTGCAGCACTGGAGACCCCCCAGCAGTCCAGAGCATTCCCCCTTTCCCGTGGCTTATCCCGAGCCCCCAGCTTGGCTCAGGTGCTCTGCTCCACGTTAAGAAGTGGTTTTGAGCCCCCTGCTCAGTTTTGGAGGCAGATTGGCTAAACCAGAGAGGACTCAGGGTGACTTTCTGGAGGGTGAGTGGTTTAAAAAGCAAAAACAGCGACAAACAAAGGAACGGGAGCAAAGGGTTGTGTGGAGCAGGAAACCCCCCCTGTGCTGAGCAGACCTTCACTCCACCTCTTCCCCTGGCTCAGGGGGAGATCTGAGAGGGGGTGAAAGCCCAACTTACGATCCAGAGGGACCTCGATGGTGCTGCCGAGGTGCTGGAGGCAGAGGGCGAAGACGATCCCTGCGCAGGGGAGGCGGTGCCCGGGTATGACCATCCTGGAGGACTGGGCAGGGGCAGCACCTCAGAGCGTCCCCCCCCGGGGGCAGCAGCACGTGCAGAGGGATCCTCAGCTGCAAAACAAACCCAGGCCACCATCACAGCTCCGTTCCTGTGGGAATCGAGGGTTTCCAGCCCAAAAAACCAATGTTTGTGTGGAGGGATGGGGGTGTGAATAGAGCCAGGGATGGTTTCCAGGCCCAGGTACAAACACTGTGGGCAGTTCTCCCACCTCTGGGTTGTTCTGCTGGCAGAAAATCAGCTTTAGAGGGATTATTTGTGCTCAAACCCTGGAGGGACCCCTTGGATCACAGAATCACGGGATGTGCCCAGCTGGGGTGGCAGGAGAAGGACCTTGCTCTCCCCTGGCACTGATGGAAAGTCACTCAGAGCTACTGAACACAAAAGCAGTGAACAGTCCCCAGAGGATAAAATAAAAAGGATGATTTGCTGATTAAAGAGGTAACAATAATTGTATTTCATGGTCAAGAAATGCCTAAAAATATCCAGTCCCTCAGCCAGGGCACTGGGATGAGCCTCTGCATTCAGCCTGGGGACAGCAGGGCACTGATTCTGGAGCCCTCCCCAGTGTCCCAAAGAGCCTGGCACTGACCTGGCACAGCTCTGGGAGCGGGGGCACAGTGGGACCTTTCCTTCCTGGTCTCTGAACGAGCCCATTTCCCCCCAGCTCCAGACACTCCCTGGTGCCAGATGTGCCTCCCACCCAAAAGCTCCCGAGGTGCTCCTGCCAGGACCTCATTTGCCACACACACACCCCACTTCCCATTTTGCTCCTGACAAACCTTCCCAGACTCCCAAAGGAGCAGGAAGGAGGATCATTCCCCCCGTGGGGACAATTCCCCTCCCTCGGGAAGGTGCAGGGGCCACGTCACCTGAGTCACTACTCAGTGCCCAGAACAGAGCTGTGAAAAGGGCAGCAGCTCCCTCAGCTGAGAGCAAAAGACACCAGCAGGGCAGGAAAGAGTGGAAAGAGTGGAAAGAAGAGTGGAAAGAGTGGAAAATCCCCAGCCCTGCCTGGCCCTGGCAGGGGCTCTGGCCAGGGATAGAGCAGCACCGAGGCCATTTGGCGAGCAAGGGGAGCCCGTCCTCGTGGAACACAAACCCCCGGCTGCAGCTCGGGATGTGCTGCCCCTTCAGCTGTCCCCGAGCTCGGGAGGGAGGGAGGGAGGGTGGGAAGAGGGAGGGGGGACCCGGCACGACAGACAGAACCCGGGAGCAGGGACGGGAACGCTGCTGGGAACGGCGCCGGCAGCCGGCGAGGAGCAGATGTCACGGAAAACAAGCGGCCCTGACACATGGCCTGGGAAGCTCTGCTGGACCCCACACGGGCTCCAGGCAGCTCTGGGGACGCTGCTCCCTGGGCAGCACGAGGTGGTGGGGGTTCTCCCCCAGGTCCTGGCTGTCCCAGTGCGTCCCAGTTCCACCAGCTGGCAGGCTGGAGGGGCTCGGAGGGGAGCGTTGCTTTGATCTGTTTTGCTCGTTCTGAGGATTCTCCAATCCAGCTGTTGCCATAAAAATAGTTGAAGGACAGAATAATTATAGGGCCGGGCCAGTAATTAAAGTCATGTCCAGCACTTGTGCAGTCCTGTGATCAGGTCATGCTGAACAAAGCTTTTCAAATTACCCCTTTAGCTCCCTGTCTGAGGGAAGAGATCATTTTGATCTGCAGCCTTCCTTTTTTTAAAGCAGTTCATTTCTCCAGTTACAGCTTAAGATGAGTGATGGACCTGCTGGTTTTATGTCTCTCTGTCCCTGAGCACGAACCTGAGCTGAGTTATGAACTGAACCAGCCAGTTCTGCACCCAGAGAGGCAGCAGGGAGGAGGGTTCTGGAGTCCTCAGGATGCTCCCAGAGTGATGCTTCCCATCTCTGTCACAAAATGCTTTAAATCCTCTCCATTCCAAGATATCTCAGGGCAGGGAGGGGGAAAGGCAGCAGAGGTTGAAACAGGGCACATGGACAGGCTGATTTGGGGCTGGAGAGCCAAGGAGGTGTTGTTTTCTTTAGGTTGGGTGGTTGTTGTGGGGAGGAAAAGGAGGAGGTGCCTTCGGGGAATATTGGAATTATTGGAATAAAGAAAGGGCTGAGCCCAAACTCTGACATCTCAAATCACAGAATGGTTTGAGTTAGAAAGGAACTTAAAGCTCACCCAGTGCCACCCCCTGCCATGGGCAGGGACACCTTCCACTGTCCCAGGTTAATCCAAGCCCCGTTCTGGGACACTTCCAGGGATGGGGAGTTCCCAACCTGTGCCAGGGCTTCAGCACCCAAAGGGCACATCCTACCCGCCCCCCCTGCACTGGGACTGTGAATGTGGGGGAATAGCAGGAGGAGGTGAATCTCCAGGTAACTTTGGAGCTGAAAAAGGGGCTGAAACCACAGGCAGAGCTCTGTGGGAATGTCCCAACACGGGGGGATCAGCCAGGGAGGATGGACTGTAGGACAAGCACTGACCAAGAGCAAAGAAACCCCACGACAGAGCACACTGGGAATTCCTCCTGCCTTTGGGAGGGCAAATGCCAGGCTCCCCCAGGCTCCTCCAGCTCCTCCAGGCTCCTCCAGCTCCTCCAGGCTCCTCCAGCTCCCCCAGGCTCCTCCAGCTCCTCCAGGGCCCCTTTGTCTGCACAGATGTGGGTGCAGGAACAATCCCCGGCCGTGCCTGTGTGTGTAGGTGGCTCCTGGGGACAGGCAGTGCCAGAGAACAAATCCCCCATTGTCAGGGCTCGGGGACAGGGACATCTCCCAGCACAGAGCCCGGGGGTGCTGTGGGAGCACAAAATTCCGAGCTGGGGGTGCTGGAGCTGCGTGATGTCCATCTGCTCCTGAGGCTGCTTCAACCCAGGCTGGCCACAGGGGCCAGATGAGACCCCTTTTCCCAGGCTCAGCATTCCTTAACCACTGCTCCTGGCCCTCAGAAGGGATCTGAGTCCTGCCCAAAGCGCAGAACAAGCCCTCCCACCTCATCCCTGCAGCCTGACGGGGTGGCCAGAGCTGGGGGAGAGCCCTCAGGGCTCCAGGAACTTCTTCCTGCAGAGTCCTGTGGGGCAGAGCTGGTCCATGGTGAGGGTATATTTTATATTCCAGCTGGTTCAGCAATTTAAAATGAAGATGGAAAGCTGGGTAACAGCCTGAGAACCCTCCCAGCCAGAGAGGAGAAACTCTGGAGCTTCATTTCTCCCTGAACGTGGCAATTTAACACACATTTTGCTCCCTCCCTGCCTCGAGTTGGGGGGAAATTTCTCCCCTCCACAGATGGTGGAGCAGCACAAGTGAATCCTCACATCCCAGCCCCGGAGCTTCCCTGCTTCCCCTCTCCATCTGCTCGGCACCAGCACGTTCCTGCAGGGTCTGGGTGGCTCAGCCAGGAGTGCTGGGAGGGCTGGTTCGTCCCTGACCAGCAGGATGAGCTGGATGAGGCTCCTCATCCCACAAAATCCACTCCCTTCCCCTCTGGCTCCAGAGCTGGAATCAAAGGATGTGTGGGAACATCTCCTCTTGCTGCAGAGATCCAACTCTCAGCCAGAACCCACTGCAGGCCAAGCCAGCACAAGGATCCAGGACATGGATCCCCTCCCAGGGCTGATTTGGCCGGAATTTGGCTCAGAATTCCCAAAGCCCCATCCCTGCAAACAGCAACACGTGGGATGCAGAACCTGAGGACTTCCCTGGGGGCACAAATGGCACCGGGGAAGGGCTGGAAATTAATTTCCCTTCCCACCAGTTGAATGAAATGAGACCTTGTGGAATAACAATGGAAACAAATCCCTTCCCTACGGCCCCACTGCTGGAAAACAACCTCAGCTCAGCCAGGAGGGCTGAGAGCAGCCACAGAACCAGGGAGTAAAGGGAATCTCTGGTTGAAGTTAAATAAAATTAAAGAGGTCCACGATGAGGGATTGTTTTTAATCAGCTCATTAGGTCCAGCAGGATGCTTTCAGCAGCAATTAGACATTTATCCTTATTTACAGCTGGAAGAGGAACAGTAAAACTTGAGGAGCTGCTGTTCCCAGGAACATTCCTGCAGCACCATTTATTGCATGTCAGCTGCTTAATTAATGCTGATTGAATAGCACAGAGCAACGTTTCCACCAAAAGAAAAAACGCTCTTGGTTTCAGATAATGAAAAACATTGATTTCAAAGGCACTTGTGGATGCGAATCCCAGGCTGGGAGAGGGAAGGGAAGGCTCCAGGGACTTGAGAGCCCCTTCCAAGGCCTAAAGGGGTTCCAGGAGAGCTGGAGAGGGACTGGGGACAAGGGGTGGAGGGACAGGACACAGGGAATGGCTTCAAAGTGCCAGAGGCCAGGATTAGGTGGGATATTGGGAAGGAATTCTTCCCTGGGAGGGTGGGGAGGCCCTGGCACAGGTTGCCCAGAGAAGCTGTGGCTGCCCCATCCCTGGAAGTGTCCAAGACCAGGTTGGAGCAACCTGGGCTAGTGGAAGGTGTCCCTGCCCATGGCAGGGTGTGGGATGGGATGGTCTTTAAGGTCCCTTCCAACCCAAATCATCCTGGGATTCCATGGAATGATGCACAGTCACATCCTGACAACATCCCTGAGAAACCACTCAAAGCAAATGCTGAATTACAGGGCAGGAACCAATGGAAAGAAGGAAGGACATGATGGCCAAGGCAGGAGATGATCCCTGGCATTCCCATCCCGAGGGATGGACGTGCCCTTTCCCTGTGGGGTGGCAGTGCTCCCATCCCCTCTGCCTGGAGGAGAGAGAGGAGCTTTGTGCCCGTTCCTGGCACCCAGCTCTCACAATTGTTCTGGGAAACAACTGTCACAGCAAACCCCAGCAAATCCATTTGCATCCTGTCTTCTCCTCCTTAAAAACCCACCATTCCCACCCATTCAGCAACTTCAGGGCTGCAGGGAGTGTCCTGAGCACCCTCTGATCCCAGGGAAAAAGGAAAGCCAGGGAAACTGCTCCTGAGCTGAGATATTGAGGGTTCAGAGTCATCTCTGTACCTGCTGCAACCCCAGAGGAGTCCCCAAACACATCTTTTTTCCCCGTGCTCTGAAGAAAAGGACATTTCCCCAACCACAAC